GCCAACCACGGGTGTGGAGGGCCAACCCACGGGTGTGGGCCGGGTGTGGAGGACCAACCACGGGTGTGGAGGGCCAACCACGGGTGTGGAGGGCCAACCACGGGTGTGGAGGGCCAACCACGGGTGTGGAGGGCCAACCACGGGTGTGGGCCGGGTGTGGAGGACCAACCACGGGTGTGGGCCGGGTGTGGAGGACCAACCACGGGTGTGGGCCGGGTGTGGAGGACCAACCACGGGTGTGGGCCGGGTGTGGAGGACCAACCACGGGTGTGGGCCGGGTGTGGAGGACCAACCACGGGTGTGGGCCGGGTGTGGAAGGCCAACACTGCCCCGCTCCACGTGCTCGCTCTCTTTCCTCTCGCAAAGAATATAATTTCTTTGTTGTTTTGTAAATCACTTTTCTTAATTTTTCCGTCACTTTATTTACCAGAAATAATTATATTTTCTACACACACAAACACTTCTAACACACCCTCAAAGGACAACTTCAAATTTAACAAAAATATAAATAAATATCCCATATACGAGTCAACCTGAACCTAACAATATAGTAGCTTCAATTACGACACTCCGAGAGGTAGTTAAGAGTGAGGTGAACCTTAGACCTGAGACAAGGAGAAGGGGTGAAGAGGGGCGCTGGCCCCCCCTTCACACCTCCGCCACGCCCCCCACCCACACCTCTCTCTCACAACACATCTATTAAACCTTTTAAGATCGTTTTAACAGCTCTGTTGATCAACTCTGTTCACCTGTCGTAGTATTGGCTTGCCAGTCACCACCAGTGTCGTTCTCTGTGCTCCTCTGAAGGCATGTATTGACCCGGACTGACTAGTTAGCCGGGTGAGAGGACACTGGTTATTGACTCAGGTGGGTAGTGACCTGCCAGAGTAACCCCCAGCGGGAGCAGGTGTGTGAGGGTGGTGGTGGGTCCGCCCCCGCGCCCAGCACAGTGGTCACTGAGGCTGGTGTGTGTGTGTGATGGTGTTCTCCGTCAGGAGGAGCGCCGCCCCCGCCAGCGCCGCCTCCTGCACTGCTGCCGTTGCGTCGCCCTCCCGCCGTATTTACCCCCCACGGCAGATATTGATCCCTCTCGCCTCTGAACGCTTCCTTTCGCCACCGAACGCTCCCTAGCGGAAACCCGCGTCTCTATCCTTTTTTCCTGGTTGGGTTTCGTTGCATTACAAACCGTCTCGGAATATTTCGCTCTTTTTCGTCTCGTGGCGATAGTAGTCGTGGGTGAAATACGCGGACCCTCATCAGTAAACGCTTAAAGCAACGCCTTTATCGCGCCAGGAAACGTTTTGGACACAGGCGAGCGGGAGAACTCGACCAGGCTTGTAATACGCAGAGGGGGCAACGTTTTCTCAGCAAAAAAAAGGCAGTTGGGTTACAGGTAAGAGCTGGGGCCCCGCGGTCTTCACTGGATGTTATTAAGCCCCAAGAAATCCATTAGGCTCTTGCAGGCTGAATAATGGAATACTTTGTGAAATGGAATTTTTCAGCGATGGCATTCCACTCTTTCAGAGCAATTCATGCGGAAATATTTAAATAATTGTGAAAGGAGGGGGTCACGGGAGCCAAGGAATCCCGCAAAGATATGTGAATAAATCCACAAGGATTTGTTCATTTGATCCATCACGCTATTGTGATTTCTGTGTGTAATGTATTAATACTTGTGGTGGAGGAGCCGTCCAGGTGGTCAATTGGGACATGTCACGCACCTCACCACGCAATAACATTTCTTTACACCGATTTTTAATGCTCTTTTCTTTTTTTGACGATGAGTTTACTATTTCTTAAGTTCGCGCGGTTTTTCTTGAGGGTCCTACTTGACGCAAACACTGCTTGCGTTATTTAGGCGGCATCCTTCTTCATCTTTGCAAGTCCTCATATCCGAGTGCTGGCATTAGCGATAGTGATGGCGTCAATATTAGCACACACACACACACTGTACACCTGTTGATTGACGGTTGGGAGGCGGGACCAAAGAGCCAGAGCTCAAACCCCGCAAGCACAATTAGGTGAGTACACACACACAATGGAATGCACTAGTTAGTGATGTGGTGAAGGCTGACTCCATACACAGTTTCAAATGTAGATATGACAGAGCCCAGTAGGCTCAGGAACCTGTACACCAGTTGATTGACAGTTGAGAGGCGGGACCAAAGAGCCAAAGCTCAACCCCCGCAAGCACAAATGGGTGAGCACACACACACACACACACAAATTCCCGACAAATGCTATCGCAAGATATCCAAACACAAGCTTTCATGATACCAACTTTTCTGCGACCCTCATCAAGTGTGACAAGTGAGCCTGTAGTTGGTCACTAGGCTACGAACTCTTAACTTCCACTCTAGATGTTTTCCCTGCTTCCAGGTGAGCAAAGAATGACTGAGGGAATGCCCATTTGGCCGTCCACAATACCTGCGCTATCTCTGTCGCCTTGATCCCGATCTCTCAGGCACATGGGTAGCCTCGAGGCAGTGTGTTATACTATTAGACTAAGACCACATACAGGACAAGACACCCCGACTAGCGAGCGGGAAGTGGAGACAGAAAAATACAAAGTAGATTGGAGAGGAAGAAGCTGTAGGAGAAGAGTCGAGGCTTGACCCAGCTGCAGGAGAGTATAATACATTGCTCAAGTTTAAGTTCAAGTATGTTTATTGAGACGAGAAAGAAATACATCTCAAAGGGATAGAGTAGCTTAGGCTATTTCTACCCTCCAATACGTTGCTTTCGACAGCAACTTGATTGCGGGCTATTCATGCCCGTGCTACCTTTTGGGTGGCTTAGTCTTTATCAATCAGCAACGTGAACAGCACGACGGTAAGGGGGGACAGGTAGCGGGCTCCGTGTTGCCATGACAACATCCATTGTACTCAAATTGAAAATATTTATTCATCAATGTAGAAAAGTTTACGTGTATACAAATTCAATAACTTTTTAATATAAAATAATTGCCTGTTAATAATTTAGTTTACAACAATTTCAAACAAATAATTAATTTATAAAATAAAATGTTTATATTAACAGCCTAACACCGATCATGATAAACTATGTACAGAATAATAAATAAATAACGACAAGGCCTAGTTTGACAGGCTGCTAAGTGGAATGAATTGAAAATAATTTTTTGTTTCCAATCTACCGATATTAGAAGAAACATTATAAATTACACGAACATAACAAATAAAATCTTGGCCAGTAGGGACCTCCAGACTGCTGTGATTTCAGTTGAAATCCGGTTATATGACTTTTAGCAAGTCAGTGGTGGTGGTCGAGTGGTTTAGGATGCGGCTGGCAATGCCCCATCTCACAGTCCCGGTGGATTTTCTCAATAATAATAATTCATATTTAAACAAAAGTGCACACCTTCATAGGATATAATAAGGTTGTAGGAATCATGGGTAAGGCAATGATGCTGTGTGTGTGCTATACATCTCTTGCCTCCACATTTTCACAGTTCATGTAGCATATGTATGTACTCTTCCAAACATAAAGTATCATTATTATCATTGTTATAATTATTATTACTTGAGAACATACAGTACAAGACTCAAGTAAACTTAATGCTTTTTCACCCCGTTAAGGTTATAAACCCATGGAACCGCCTACCTGCTGAAGCTGTAAATGCCAAATCAGTGCTGGAATTCAAAATCTAGCTCGATAAAAATCAAGATAAGGGGGGGGGGTGCCTATGACAAGCCGCCAGCTTCATGTCCTTCTTGAGGCCAGTAAATAGTGACCCACCGGTAAATTCAGGTACATTCAATGTCATGCACTGAGAAGTGGTATAAACCTCTCGATGTATATAAATATCTCTGTCAGCCCAACCTCAATCTGTAAAACATTATTATTTCCTGGGTATAGTTCGACTCCCGGGCCAGATAGAAAGACCCGTTTCCTTCCCCCAATGCTTCTGTCCACCTAGCAGTAAATAGTTACCTGGGAGTTAGGAAGCTGTTGAGTGGGTTGCATCCTGGGGAGGGTCGATAGTTCGACCTTTTGGGGACCTCGATACAAGTGTGTGTATGTGTGTGTGTGTGTGTGTGTGTGTGTGTGTGTGTGTGTGTGTGTGTGTACTCACCTAGTTGTACTCACCTAGTTGTGTTTGCGGGGGTTGAGCTCTGGCTCTTTGGTCCCGCCTCTTAACAGTCAATCAACAGGTGTACAGATTCATGAGCCTATCGGGCTCTGTCATATCTACACTTGAAACTGTGTATGGAGTCAGCCTCCACCACATCACTTCCTAATGCATTCCATTTGTCAACCACTCTGACACTAAAAAAGTTCTTTCTAATATCTCTGTGGCTCATTTGGGCACTCAGTTTCCACCTGTGTCCCCTTGTGCGTGTTCCCCTTGTGTTAAATAGACTGTCTTTATCTACCCTATCAATCCCCTTCAGAATCTTGAATGTGGTGATCATGTCCCCCCTAACTCTTCTGTCTTCCAGCGAAGTGAGGTTTAATTCCCGTAACTTGTGTGTGTGTGTGTGTGTGTGTGTGTACTCACCTAGTTGTGCCTGTGGAGGTTGAGCTCTGGCTCTTTGGTCCGCATCTCAACTGTCAATCAACTGGTGTACAGATTCCCGAGCCTATTGGGCTTTATCAAATCTATATTTGAAACTGTATGGAGTCAGCCTCCACCACATCACTGCCTAATGTATTCCATTTGTTAACTACTCTGACACTGAAAAAATTCTTTCTAATGTCTCTGTGGCTCATCTAGGTTTCCACCTGTGTCCCATTGGAACACACACACACCATGGTTTCCTATCCATGACAAAACGAAATAAAATACGCGTTCAAAAGTTTTCAGGACTTATATAAGTTTACTATTATAAACGAACCACAACTTGAAGATTCCATATTCTGTTGTGCCGGAACCATAGAGAACGACTTGTCTATGTGTTGAGTGACGTAACATCGCGACATAACCCTCAAAACTTTCCCTTCTTGGTAACAACAACATTAGATGTAAACATTTTGAAAAGGTTTTGGAATGTTTTTGTTTTCAGCGATTAAATGTTATCGAAATTTCTACTGATCCGTGACAGTTCTCTTCAAATAACGTTAATGAGTCTGTTTATCGACCCGTGAGTCATGTCGACCTGCTGAAATATATTGATTAATGGTGAGGTGTTACCAGGTGGCCAGTCAGTGTGGAGGTGGCCAGTCAGTGTGAAGGTGGCCAGTCAGTCAGTGTGGAGGTGGCCAGTCAGTCAGTGTGAAGGTGGCCAGTCAGTCAGTGTGGAGGTGGCCAGTCAATGTGGAGGTGGCCAGTCAGTGTGGAGGTGGCCAGTCAGTGTGAAGGTGGCCAGTCAGTCAGTCAGTCAGTGTGGAGGTGGCCAGTCAGTGTGTGGAGGTGGCCAGTCAGTCAGTGTGTAGGTGGCCAGTCAGTCAGTGTGGAGGTGGCCAGTCAGTCAGTGTGGAGGTGGCCAGTCAGTCAGTGTGGAGGTGGCCAGTCAGTCAGTGTGGAGGTGGCCAGTCAGTCAGTGTGTAGGTGGCCAGTCAGTCAGTGTGGAGGTGGCCAGTCAGTCAGTGTGAAGGTGGCCAGTCAGTCAGTGTGGAGGTGGCCAGTCAGTCAGTGTGAAGGTGGCCAGTCAGTCAGTGTGGAGGTGGCCAGTCAGTCAGTGTGAAGGTGGCCAGTCAGTCAGTGTGAAGGTGGCCAGTCAGTCAGTGTGAAGGTGGCCAGTCAGTCAGTGTGGAGGTGGCCAGTCAGTCAGTGTGAAGGTGGCCAGTCAGTCAGTGTGAAGGTGGCCAGTCAGTCAGTGTGAAGGTGGCCAGTCAGTCAGTGTGAAGGTGGCCAGTCAGTCAGTGTGAAGGTGGCCAGTCAGTCAGTGTGAAGGTGGCCAGTCAGTCAGTGTGAAGGTGGCCAGTCAGTCAGTGTGGAGGTGGCCAGTCAGTCAGTCAGTCAGTGTGGGGGTAGCCAGTCAGTGTGGGGGTGGCCAGTCAGCCAGTGTGGGGGTGGCCAGTCAGTGTGGAGGTGGCCAGTCAGTGTGGAGGTGACCAGTCAGTGTGGAGGTGACCAGTCAGTCAGTATGGAGGTGGCCAGTCAGTCAGTGTGGAGGTGGCCAGTCAGTGTGGAGGTGACCAGTCGGCCAGTCAGTCAGTGTGGAGGTGGCCAGTCAGTCAGTATGGAGGTGGCCAGTCGGCCAGTCGGTCAGTATGGAGGTGGCCAGTCGGCCAGTCAGTCAGTGTGGAGGTGGCCAGTCAATATCTTGCACAATGGAGGTTACACATGTATTTTTTTGTGGTGATACCAATACAAAACATTGGTTAATCATAAAAAATATAGCACCTTTGGTTGTTATTAATTAAAGTACTGTACAAAGTATTTTGGAATACTGAATACTATTTTATTTTTTTCAGAAATTATCAACTGATAAACTCAATAGCAATGGCAAATAATTACACAGATTTAAGAACAACATTATCAGCTTCAAAGCAGATACCATCAGATTTTGCAGTAAATATTTATTCTTTCTGTTGGTAGAATATAATGTAATATAAATCTTTATATAGAAAACATTTGTGAGGGGAGCCCCTTGTGGCTCCCTGAAACTATAGACTGAGATGGTTCCCATCTTTCAAGTCACATCAGCTGTGGAGTTCTTATGCCTACTGGAGACCAGGGCCCAGAACCTGGTTCCCCTCACAGAGGTGCAGGGAGCAGTGACATTTCGCTATCTCACCAGGGAAGGCATCCAGAAAATCAGCGAGTCAAAGCAAACCATTCCTGGGTTAAAAAAAGACTGAAGCCTTAAAACCCACCTAATTAACTCCTCCAACTATGTAAACCAATGGGCAAGTCTCTCAAAACTAACGAGAGTTCATTCGACCCACCTTCCTCACTTGTTTGTGGAAGGGGGAAAGGGGCTCACTACCTTATAGGGTTTGAGCAGTCATTTCTTACACTAATGCAGATGGGGTCACCCGACTGCTGTTGTGGTTCCCGGGTCACCTTTCATGCAGGGCTCCTCTGTTTCAGCCAAGTGTTTTGGGTTTTTGCCTTGGTGGCTTTTCTTACACATTGCAGTGTAGCTGGGAGCCTGGTGTGTAGAGTGCTTGTAGCTGCCTGTACTCAGGGTTATTTTCCCCTGTGTGCCCCTTAGTACTACCCTTGCATTGCCAGAGTTATCTTCCCTGAAGTGCTTAGGAAGCCACAAGGGGCTTCTGCTCCCCATCCCTAGAACACCAGTGTTGAATGTAATGAAATGCTAATTTCTGGGTGAACCTCAGTTGCTCCTTTATCCCTCCCATCCTCTCAGGTCGTTGGGTAGGTTTTGTTTGTGCATCTGCTCCAGAACTGACTGCTCAGATCCCAGGTAGTGGTGAGCCCCCTTCCCTTCCTCCACCCAAATGGGAACGGAAGCTAGTTTCAAGAGATTCGATCATTTGTTTACATATTTGGGGAGTTCATTAGGCGAGTTTTGAGACTTCAGCCTCTTTTGAACCCAGCAGTGGATTATTTTGACCTGCTTACTTTTTAGACGGCTTTCCCAGTGAATTGGCAAAATGTTCCTGCTGCCTGTTCCTCTGTGAGGGGACAGGGCAGGTTCTGGCTCTGGTCCCCTGGTAGGCCTAAGAACTCAATGGCTGATGGTAACTATCTTTGTGTAAAGCTCCAGGGAGACACTAGGGCTTACCCAGAAATTGACGTTTTATTACATTCAACGCTTTTTTTTTTTTTTGAGATACAGCAGGGCTTGTTTTTTCATTTTCTGTATTATGAATAACCATATAAAAACAATGGAAGCATACCCATATTTTAAGTTTATAATAACTAACTTGCCAGGATGGAGAGGAAGACAGTGACACTGGGTGGGGCAGTGTATCAGAGTGCCACAGTAATGCCAACAGTGAAGATGCCTTATTACATGATTCAATCTCGTGTGATATACCGACTGTTCGAACCAAGCCTGGTGAGAATTCCCAAATCTAATTTTTTTTTATTCATAAAAAAATTTGTGTACTGTATGGTTTTTAACTAACATCTGGTTTTCCTGTTAACCTTAAAAAATTTTGTTTTCCAAAAAATTTAAAGTTCAAACATGATATATAAAATTTTGTATATAGAATTCTGCATATAGAATTATGATTTTGTCAATGGATCCTCCAAAAATGATACAACTATAGCTACTATGGATGAAATGTACAAAATATAGACTGTTACACAAAAAATAAAAGTTCATATAGTGTACAATTGTACAGTAATTCTAAAGGGCATAACAAAATCCTAAGTTAACCTGACTTAGGTTTAAATAAGTAGTCTTAAGCCTAACGTGCAATTTGATGCCTTATTTAGTACAAATATATACTGTACCAAATTATATACTGTAGTTCTAGAATAAGTTGGGTTTGCTTGATGCCATCCTTCTCAGGCTGTCTATAAAATGAATGGTACAAAATGTTGACTTTCTTTGGGTGCAAGTAACAATGGTTATTATACTGTATCCATAATTACTATGGATGGAAGTACTGTACATATTTTGTAGTTCCATCCATAGTAACTATGGGTTTCAGTATAGGCATTTTTGGATGACAGGCTGGATTTTATTAGGTAATATTCATTGTTATTGCAAAAATAGCCCTATAATTGTCCCTATATTATTATTATATTACATTAACATTTTAATTCTATCAAAATATCCAGATGGGGGAGACAGTGAAATCCAGAAACTAATAAATGCTGCAGAAACTTTGGCTCTAGAACGAGCAAAACTCAACCTGTCGGGCTTCATTACTGCAGCAGATAAATTAACCCATCCCCCTGCTCCTGTGGTGGGAGTTAAATCCTTGAACCCCACCAGTAGAATCTCTCAAAAAGAGCACAGCAGCTTAGATGAGAAGAGTGAGAATAAAGGACTATATGATGTTCATATTCAATTGCAAAATAATAATACAGGTGCCAGTTCATCACACTTTCAAAGTGATGATTGTCATACTTCAAGACTGGCCCCAAATAGGTATACTCATTCAATAGAAAACCTTTCAAAGTTTGAAGAATCAGGAAGAAAACTGAATGACGTTGATGAAATAGAAGAAAGCCAATCAGTTTCATTATGTGACTTTGTATTATCAAAAACATCAGAAGTATATCAAGATGCTAAAGATTATTCCATTCTTCAAGAAAATGAAAAATTGGAAGGGGATAGTTTGAGAAGTATTCCAAAACTATCGTTAGAGCATACTGGTGCTCTAAGTAATGACAGTGATTTAAGGGATGAGAAAAATCCTGTGAGCAAGGATGTGAAGGAAGTGTGCAACTCCACCATTCGAGAATCCTCGACAGACGGCTCCAACGTCCAGATTATCCCACAAGCAAAATATTTTTTAGGAAGCGATAACTCCAAGCAAAATCTGCAACAGACAAGGTAAATATCTTATGTGCATGAATTTTCTGATTGAAGCATTTATTTTTGTGTGCATTTATTACAAAAACAGTTTTAATTGTTTTTAAAGTAGTGTAATGTATGTGTAATGTAGTCTAATGTATATGTAAGTACAGTAATACAGTACTGTAGGTGTATATGTTGTTGTCAGTGTTCTTTAATAAGATGACAACCAAATTTAGATGAAGAATATTTTTTCATAAATTTAACATGTAATTTTGTATCAGTCAATATGAATAAGATTAGCTTAGTAATTTAATTCAAAATTTTCTGGACCAGCCTCCAAAGTATTTCCTCAAAGCTTACTGCATTGGCACTATGTCCACATCCAGTTTTCCAGGCACCTACAACTGTCTCGGCCCACCAAAAGGAAGGACCAAAATGTTACCTCTTTTATGGGATAGTAAAGCACATGGGAATTGAAGATCAATCCACCACTAAGATGAGCAACCCCAAAGGTGATAGGAAGTCACAAACACTTAAACTCCCAATTTGGAAACGATAAATTCATCAAACAAACCCACGTACAAGTGCATCACCCACCTGCCCACTACTCCCCACACTGACACCAGGGGAGCCACACTGAATGAGTCATTGACCGGCCATCTTAGAGGGGTGGTCAGCTATCTGCCAGGCTTTATGTGACAATCCTTGGCCATATTACAGTTTTCCATAGTGTCTGTGTTCCCTTAATTCTTTTCACTGGGAGTATTCCCTCTATTACAGACAACTTGAAAATGAAAGGGTTGTATCACTGGAGCTTCAAGTGACTTGGGCTGTCACTTGATGGTGGGTGGTGGGATAAGATAGCAAGTAGATAATACATTTCTTACATTATGTTGACCAAACCACACACTAGAAAGTGAAGGAATGACGACGTTGTGGTCCGTCCTGGACCATTCTCAAGTCGATTGTATTTTATGTTTGCCAAATTTATTTTTTCCTAACATTTCTTGAAGGGAACTTGAGTGGTTTGTGATTTCCTTTTGAGTTTACGGCGGTACAGATTGGTAGTGGGTTGATTTCTGATCGTAAGCTTGCCCTAGCCCATCCTCCTAAGGTTTTCCAATGTCAAGAAACTATCATACTAAAGTGCCCTTATTATACCTTTACATATCGTAGGTTATACCATTACACACACAATATATCTTTTGACTATACAGTGATGCTATTGTGATTTTTAATTTTGGTAACATATAAATAATTAAATTATCACATTTCTGTGTATTTCAGGTTAATGCAATTGAATAAATTTGCAATTTTTTAAGGACGTTATATAGGATTTGTGTCGTAGGTATCTTTATATATTACACAGTCATATGCAGTATTGTTTAGTAATCAGTGTGTGCTTTACTAGTCTGTAAATTGTAGTAATTATGTGTCTAATCATTAATGGGTTTTCATACACTTAACTGTTTGTTAAATGTCAAATGATCGGAGATTTCATTTTGTTTTTCTTCCCTACATGCCTCTGAAGCTGATCACAGGTAGCTTGGATCCTCATGGCATTTTATACTCGCTAAACAGATAGAAAGAACTGCTTGAAAAGTGAAGATATTTATTTTTATTCTCGAATGATTGTATTTCTGTTTTTTAGCTTAAATATATATTGACTTGACCATTCCATAGACTGAACAAGCTGCTTAAAGACATGCATCTCTTGTGTGTTTGTGGGAACAAAACTATACCTAACTTGCTGCATGTTTTGGGAGAATTTATTTTTGTTATTATGTAGTTACTGGCACAACTTATATAAATTTCCATTATCCACCTACATTTATCTACAAAGCTTGAGGGCAGGGGAATTTATTTTGCTTTTCATAATTAACTTTCTGTGAACTATGCCACACTTTATTTACCAAAATTATTTAAATAAACAATGTCTATAAAATTACAGTATAGATATTATGAGTGGGTTTCATCCATAGGGCATGAGGAATCTGAGAAAATTGTTAAGCCTACAGTCCAAATTCTTTACACATTTAAATAACATTGGAGTGAATCTTGTACATCTTATTAAAATCAATAAAATCTGAATGAAGTTTACCACACCCATGTCGCTAAGGGGTAGCCCACATATAAACTGGTATGTTGTAGGCTTTATGTGAAGGTTAACTGTAAACTTTGTAGTGTATCCTGGGCTTCTAAATATTTTCAAGAATAAGTCGAGAATAATTAAAATCGGTTTATTATATGGTGAAATTAGCAAATGACTACAACTTGTGAGGCTTTTGTATAATAATGACCTCTTCCCTGAGCCACTACTTGCTGGACTGCTGCCAGGAGACTCCTCCAGATATGCAGACAATTAGTTACAATAACATGGCTGAAGATATGATGACTAAACCACACACCAGAAGATGAGATGACAACGTTTCGACAATCAGTAATTATGGTCCAGGACGGACCAAAACGTCGTCATCTCCTCACCTGGTGTGTGATTTAGTCATCACAGGGGACTTTGTTGCACCCAATAGCAGCAAGGTAGACCTGAAGTGTGACTATCAGTTGGGGCACTCAATGAATTCTTTCAAGTTTTGCTTCTACATGGTGTTCACACGAGACTGGTATTATCTTCCTTCCTTTTTTGTACGGAGGTATTGATTTGCTATAAGCTTTAGAAGCGTGACTTGTATGACCATGTCATCGTACATCAGATGGGATGGGAGCTGTAAGTAACTGGTCACCAACTCTTGCTTTATGACTGATTCCTAGGATGACTGATTAAGTCCATAAATTGAATGTTATTTCCTTAAAAAAAAATACCTTGCGTTAAATGTAGTGAAATGCCTCTTTCTGGGAGAACCCCGTGTGGCTCCTTGAAGCTTTCTCATTGAGATGGCATCCCATACTGGGTAACATTAGGAGACCAGCTCTTTAACCCTGTCTATATAAGACAGACAGGAATCTATGTATGCTTGTTAGCATTGTAAAAACATTACAGTCACCCTGTGTGGCTGAGTGCTCAGTAACTTTACATTGTATGTTTACCAGATCTCTAACCCAGTCCATGGAGAACAAGAGAATGCATACATGATAGCATTGTAAATGAACAGTCATGTCTGTGTTAAAAATACTAGGTCATATCAGTCGTATGAATCCCGTTTAGACTTGTCTGAGCCAGAACCAGAATCTGGTTCACTCGCAAAGGTGAACCAGAACCAGAGAAGCATTACAGAACAACTTTAAATTAAACCTTTTGTATTTTATTATAGCACTGTGAAATCATTATACCTCTAATAATCATTACACCACTTTCTTCGTGTCCTGAGATACTACTGCTTGGGGATATCTCTTTTAATTGGCTATGATGAAAACTCATCAAATTGTAATATTGTACTGAGTAACTTTTGCAAACATTAAATCTAAAATGTTATAGTGTATACCGGGTATTTGTTTTATTATATTTATACAATTGTATAATGTACTTAATTTATAGCCTTAAAGCCATATTTAAATTACAGTACCTAAAACTATTTTGTATAATGAGAATTGTATATAGGCAATACAAATATTGTTTATAAAAGCTCAGCTATGTGTTTTGCTGAAGGGATGTTCTTGTATAAATGCAGGTACATATCCTACTTCCAATTTTCTATTATTTTTTTCAGCAGGCAAGACTTGCGGGAAGTCTCTCTCATGGTGCATGATGAATGCAGCTGTTTGCTAAGTCTGGCTCTTACCTCCACCAGTAGCCTTAGCCGACTTATTAGGTAGGTACTTTGTTCAGTTTCTTTGATTGTAATGTAGGGAGAGAGGGAGGATACCTTACATTTCAATTGTTTTAAAACTAGGAAAACACAAAATAACATAAAAATGACAAAATATTTTTGAGTTATTACGTATGAACATTCTGTGAGGTACTTCCTGACTGGAAGTTCATTCACCATGATCCAGCAAAGACATTTGGAAAAAAAACTGCTGTGCTGGGAAGTGTCAACCTGGCTTGGCTTGGCTTGTCTAATCATAGCCTTGGAAAGAGCAGAGCATTACCTAAAGAAGCAACCAAATGGTCTGCAAAAGCATTTTTTCATCTACATAACAAGCCTTATTTATTATTATATGAGCTAAAATTCATTAGCATGGAATGTATGCTTTTGGTCCAGCAACGATGTTTACATCGTTTGAAATTACAGTTTTCAGTCTTGTGCAATGTCTCTAGAAATGTTTGTGTAAAATCAGTATTCTTCTGTTTTTTAATAATAATAATAATTTTATTATTGTTATTCTTATTCTTATTTATTGTTGGTACTTTTAAGATTGTTGAGACAAGTTTCAACGCTGCAATTGGGTGCTGATACACCTCGTGTTGCAGAGAATGTGTTAGAAGAACTGACAGAGTATGAGGATCAACACAACTGCTTGCAAACAGAGCTGAGTTCTGCAGCAGCCCAGTTACAAATGGTGGTAGCTCAGGTAAAATAAGAATATCACTGATTAATCATATACCAAATACAGGCACTGTACCTGTAACATTTTTGAAATGATACAATTACACTGCAGTATCTCTTGGAAGCTGTGTCTACTCAATTTTCTTTAATTTCTGTTACATTATTTTCTGAGCTTTTTCACTCTGATTCTTCCTAAAGCAAGCATAATTCTTGTTCTTGGTCATTGATCATGACATGGGAAGGCATCATTTTAAACTGACATAATAGTGGTCTTTGTAAATGTTCCATTTTGGGCACACTGGTCCTTGGGAGGCCCTATATATATAAGTTTAATCCAGCCCCAGAATTACCACAAAGTATACTTATAAACACTCAAAACCTTTCCAAGCCCTACTTGGCATCGGAGTGACTTTCAAGTTGAGCTCTCACAAACTGTCAGTTTGAACCAACTTACTATAACCTTCATCAGATAGCAGTACCCATGTCAACATTTGGTCTCTTGCCTTGAGGTTAATCACTTTCTTCCACACTGGGCCTTATGGAGCCTCAGCAAACTCAAGACTGGATTCAGTTAATTGTTTTTATCTATAGAAACATTGTTTTTCTATGCAATTGGCTCATGCTTTATACTTGATAAGCTAATACATTTATCATTTTGAATGCTTCTCTTGTGTGTGTGTGACCAAGTTTCTGAATTGCCTTCTCTTTCACAGTTTGTGTTGTGCTTCAGCTGTAGTTTCCTCCGCGTATGTTCCCACTTCACTTGTAGCTCCTTGGTGCTTTGCTCCAGGAAAGTGTGTTTGTACTAGGGACACTCAATTAACTCCTGTTTGATGGCAAACTGTTTGTTTACCCTCCAGGTTTGGTCTTAGCCGAGTTGTTTGTTCTAGAGCTAGACAGGGTTTGGTTAGGGTCAAACAATGACTTTTTCCTTAACACCCAGCCCTTTCCTTCACTCATCATAACTGACCAATTGATAATTACAGCTGGTGATTACCTGGTGCTATCCACCATGGCATAATTAGTACAAGGATGGGCAGACTGCTGCTTGATGCAGCCAGGTCACATTCTGTTAGCAGTATTTTGACCCTGATAACCACCTCTTTTTGCCTCCAGCATTTTGGTGTGTTCAGACTGTCATGGGTGGAGAGGTCATAGGAATCTAATGTGCCCAGTGAGTCCCTAGCAAGCCAGTGCCATTAGGCATTTCATTACACACAACACACTTATATAAAAAGAAACAAAGTATACTTCTGTAAAATAACAATGACACACTATCATCACACTTCAGTTTAAAAATGTGTTGAGTAGAACTGGTATACAACTTAAGGGTTTCCATACCTGGACTAAAATAGTATTTGAAATGGCAATTCTGACAGAGATTGAAAATGAGTGTGACTGAATATAATTTAAATTCCTATGAAATAACAATATTAGCTCAGGCATAAAATGAATTGCAAGAGATGTTTTTTCTGTTTACTCTGCTGTAATGAGATTTCCTGGAGGAGTTATTTTGAAAAGATTTAATTTTTCAACCAGCCATCACTTATATTTTAAGAGCATGAAATTAAAAAGCATTACTGATAAATATTTACATATTTATCCTACTTAAATTTTACAGGTGCAGGGAATTGAAATTATAATTGGAGACCAGCAGAGAGAAGCTTCAAGCATGGAACAGTGCGCTTCACAGCTCCTAGCCCAAGTTGAAGCAGGGCTAGAATCTATTGGTCTCAAGCATATGATGGCTGTAACTTCACCCAGAAGGTAGTAACTAATTATTGATAGCTGATTTTAGTTTAAATTATGATAAAGACTGGAATAACCAATGTTATTTGCCTCAATGCATGGGCGAAAGGCTGCTGAAAGACTTGAGCACCAGGTGACCTCTCACTGGATTATTCTCGAGGCAAATATTACATGTTTAAAAATATCGTACTGAGCTTTAACCTCAGAAACATAATAATCATTATTTCTTCATTAAGGTCAAATATTAATGACCCTAAATGGGTGAACATGCGATTATAGGCTCTTGCCAAAAAATATGCTGAAGTGAATAAAAGACAGTTTGATACGTCTTTTGTACGTTATTCCTAACAAGAATGTTAAGATAGAAAATGGGAAATAGGGGAAGCCAAATTACTACACTGATACAGTTCAAATACCTCTTTGAACATTTAACATAACCAACACCAAGTGTGCAGTTATAAGTAACATGTCCCTTCTAGACCACCTGCAATTTGTGCAGCTAATTTTATACAATGTACATCAGTATTACTACTTGTCATTTATTTCAGACGGAGTACTGCTCGAATGTTAGAGGATATAGCATCAGCACTGGCGTTGCTAATAGGGGAGCTTAACAGAAAATCCCTACGAAATCTTAACGTGGAAGACGAGTTAAAGCGTCATTATGAGGAAATAGAATTCCGCAGAGAAGCACTATTAAAGAGAGAGACTAGGTCAGTGGTATTCTATATAAAGTATAATATATAATATGAATAATATAATGTGGGGGAAATCATACTAGTATGCAATGGAACCTCCATAAAATAGTTGCAAACTTGAAATTACAAACAAATTGTTACATGATTCTGTTTTGCTAATTTCATGTTCTATGTTTTAAGCATTAATGAATTTATGTGAATTATTATTTCTGAAAGATTAAGAGCAAGTGAGCTGGAACTGTTGAAGGTGAAGAAGCAAAGCAAAGCAGATGTCACCTCACTCAAGCAGTGTTTGGCTCAAGCAGAAGAAAACCTAAATGAGACTCAGTAATGTATCATATTTTATATGCTGTGATGTTTGAATGTATTATACTTCACTTTATATACTGTGATGTTTGAATGTATTATACTTCACTTTAGATGCTGTAATGTTTGAATGTATCTAGTGATGGAAATGGAGGGGTATGCAGGCCTTCCCAATAGAACAAATCTAGATTACAGCCTGTGAAAGCATGCAAATGCAGGAGAAACTTGTAGATATCGGTACCCAACACTTACTGAATGCTGAGGCTATCATACACAGGATTGGGAGATGGGCTCCACCTTGTATCACTGTGATAGTACAAATTTAAAACATTGCCCTAGGCATGGTACAAAAGGAGAATTGGCAAGTTGGTTTCTTCCCCCTATTACTTTTGTACTGTAGTTGCATTTTATGGTGAGGAAACTGCAGCATGAACACTCTCCCTATCAGCATTCCCATTTGTGCTGTGCACAGTAAACACAAGCTTCCTCAATGTCTCATCTATAAGGAAAATCATTGCTTGTTTGTTTTAATTTGTCAAGAAGTGTTCCTTCTGGCCAACAAACTATGCCTGGAGGAAAATTAATATTTCTGCATGTCTTGGTGCTGCATCAGTTGTGGACTATGTCCTTGATCATAGGAGAGCTGCTGTAGCCATCAAAAATAATAATAGCTTTTCCACAAGTTTTCAGAGTGAAATCAGCATAGGAGTGTGCAATTTTTCTCACATGTTTCATATTCACACCACAAAACTCGATGTAAGAGAGATCCACCATTCAATGTATACTTGTCTGTGTACTGAATTTCTTTAGCTTCTTCCATGTATAAAGTGTCAGTGTATTTGATTATTGCACGAGGTGCTAAAACTTCCTCGGAAGACTTCATGATTTCCAACGATGCAGGAGGGTACACACACAGTTTGGAAGACATGAACATTAAGATTCATGTTGATGCCAGTGGCAACATTCATCATTCTCTGAAACAGGAATGCAGGCTCTGCTTCTGTGTGGAATGAATAGGGCTCTCAATGGCAGAAGCAGATCGTAGGGTTTTTACTTTTGTCAGATCTTTTAGCAGAATATGTGCAGACATCACGATTGATGTTATCCTGCTGCTGGAAGTACCATAGTGTTTTCATCAACATTAAAAGAGTAACAGCCAATTGCTAGCAGTGTTTCTTTCAAATCTTGTTACTTATGCATACGATGAATGGTAATCAAGATGTTGGAGGATGTTACTGGGGTACCTTTCCTAAAGTTGTGGTGTAGTTAAACAGAAAAACCTGACCTGGATGTAATACCAAAATGCACAGTAGCAAGATAAAAAGGGCCAAATAAATGCCCTGAGAAAATCCCAACCCCAAAGGGATATCCAAGAAGACCCCATGAGCATGACACTGGTGTAAACAAACTGTCCCATGATATTCCCAGCTGCCAGATCAAACAACAGGATATGAGGCAGCCAGAAGAGAACACATTAGGCCACAAATCTCAGGCCACCCAGCCAAAGTACAAGAATTAAACACACAGGAATCAGGGCCAGGAGCTACATACACACACAACTGTACAGCTCATTACATCATCTCGCTAGAAACAGAAACTCTTGAAACTCCGTAGAAACTTGCTCTTGCTGTTAAGAGCAAGTGCCAAGCACTACCTGGTGACACGATGAGTCAGGAGCCAATATGCAGGGTTGGAACCTAAACTTCTTGGAGTAGATACTGGTGGGACAGGGAAAATGTAAGCCAGCTACCAGGGAAGATAATTCCTGGTATACAGCTGGAGCAAAAAAAAAAAAAAAACTGCATGCATTATGGATGGACCTAAACACAATTATGAAAGAATGTAACACACCGGTAGCTTATAAGATATCAGCAGGGCTATACACCTTGTGTACACCAGACGATTGAGAGATGTGGTTGGCTGTCTGGGATCCCAGGTGACCTTGGCCGTTATTTGTTTGTCTGAGACAACAATCGTTTAACGTGTTTACCTCAGGACTCATTATTTCAGGCAGTAGTTTATGTTGTTTTGCCCATCTTTTTTATGAGGTTTTCTCAGTTTTGTGTCTATCTCTGAATCTCAAACTGCCTTTCCCTTATAAAGAGTCAGATTCTGGTCCTGGCAATGTGAGTTTGAGAGGCCTGATGCACTTGTCAATGCTTGGCTTTACTAGAGCACAAGCTTTGGGAAGCAGAAACAGGCATTTCAACTCATGACTTATAATCATTTTCTTGATAATCATTTATAGGCTGGAAAAAATGAAGATCAGTGAAGCATCGAAGAAGCTGGCAATAGAAAATGGTGCCCTTATAATACAACTTCAGCACAAGCTGTCTGATCTTCAGCGTGATGCAGACTCCAGGTATGTAGCTATTATCTGTCACATAAAAGAATTAATAAGCATACATACACAAATAGGCTCTACTTATCTGTTATAAATATAATTTCCTGTATATATAGAATACTGTTTTCTTTGTCTTTGTCTTGTGGGTTGTTCCACTTTAGATCCATTTAAGTGGCTGGTCCATCTTCCTCGGTGCTGGGAGAGGTAACAATGCCTGTGGCATGCATTAAGGAGGCTGGCTAAGTCCTTGTTCACCCATAGTGGACTGTTGGCTCTTGGCTATGGGGCTTCAGAAAAGAGCATTTCATATACGTAATACTGTACTACATTTATTAACATGGCCCTTCTTAATTTTAGAGTGAGTAATTTGGAACACAAATTCCAAGATGCTGTTACAGTGAATCAATCACTGGAATCAACTGTGGTTGAATTAAAGAATAAATTGAGTCTTCAGACAAAACAAATTAATTTTGTGGATGTGAGTAACAGTCATAAGACAGATTTTGTTTTAAATCTATATATAAATCTAATTATATAAATCTAATCTATATGTATATCTAATTATTGTATAATATAATATTTCATACCTTAATATGGATATTAAATATTGTTTACAAGGGTGGCTATTAAAACATGGTAGGGAAGAGTTGAATGTGTTAAGTGGGGCGAGGGTTACAGAATGTGTTAAGCATCAAGGGTTACGGAAGTCAAATTCAGTACAGTACATGGTTATTCTGTCTGTCAATCTTGCTTCCTCACCAAGCAATAATACTTACAAAATATTCCAGAGGAATCTTTTGCCTTTCAAATATTAGTTTTGTTAATTTGTTCAATATGATCAACTATAATCTTAGATGAAATTGCTTAACATTTGGTTTTGATTTTTGAACTAAGTTAAATGGTAGACATGACCAAAATATGTGCTCTACACAAACCTTAAATAGTTTCATTAACAAATCTTCAGGAGGAGAATAATTTGCTTATTGAAGGATTGAGATCTACAATAAGGCGCCAGCAAGATGAAGAGGACCAATTACGCAGACAGCTTGATTCTATCACTTCTCAAAAGAGCAATCTTACTCGCAGGATGGCTGAACTGTGAGTATTATTTTGAGTGATGTATTATTTTTATCCCTAAAATGCAGCCAATACAATGTGTCAATTGTATAGTAAATTGCAGTCATTTATCATATAGTAAAATACAATTTGAGTCAATGTTCAAATATCAATGTTACCTTTGGTTCCTATAGCTTATTGGTGTCTTCCAACAGTAATACCACAAAATAATTTTTAGTTAGATGTAGTTCAGCTCCTGATCTCCCATTACAATGTGATAACATGGTTCCATCAATGCTGTGACTGGAATGCAATTCAATATTGTAAAAGAACTGGCCAACGAGCTCTGTCTATCACTGAAAATTATGTCCAGAAAATCTCTAGGCCAAGAAAATGTCCACCTAAACAGAAATATAATAATTATACAAATATCTCCCCATTTTAAAGAAAGGTAGAAAAATCTCAAAAGAAAACTACAGACCAATGAAATATTTGGAAGCTCAGGAAGAGGATTCTAAGGAAGAAAATTATTTGCCATATTACAATGTACAATCTTGTGAAAACAACAAAACATAGTGGCTGGGTTTGTAAGAGGAACTGATTATATTTGCATATACCATACAATATAGAACAGGTATAGGAAAATTTACAGTGAGCACTGTACACCTGGTCTTATGAAGCAAAGATGCTGCTGGTGATAGATGCCAGAAATATGCTGTACCAGATAATATTACTTGATACATTGTCTCTAATTATGCATTTATATTTTTACAGGGAGAGTGAATTGGCTGCAGAACACGAACAGCAAGAAAAGCTAATCAAAGAAGTTTCTGAGTTAAAGTCATCTATCAGCAATCTTAAACTGGAGCACATTGACTCAGAGAAAGCGCTTCGAGACAAAGTTAGTTGATGAATAAATAAGTGGTATCTATAAGTTATTCCACTCAGTTGATACTATAGGCAATGTCTGCTTCTCCATGAGCAAGAGCAGACACAACCAAGTCAGGTTGATATTTATTCTCTGGTGCATCGAGGATCTTTTCAGATGTTCCTGCCAATTCATACCAGGGATAAGGAAAATACCAAAGATAAAACTATCCAGCTTAGAATGACCTGCAGAATGACCTTTGTTGGGTATAGTAACCTGTAGGGTTTATCGAAGATGCCTTAGGCTCTAGGCCAAAAACTATCCTTTCCCAGAATGCAACCTAACACAGTTGCCTAATTCCCGAGTGCCTATTTACTGCTAGGTGAATAGAGGCATCAGATGTTTCGAAATGTATCCAAACTTCTTGCCCTGTCTGGGACTTAACCCTGGGACATTTTGGTTGTGAATGGACTTTATAGACAAGACTACTTGATTGTATAATTCCTTTTCAGACTTAACATTAACGTCTGGACAAAAATTTGTATAGGATTAAATTGTTAATGTATGCGAAGAGAAATTTCATGTGATACTGAAATGAATGTTTACACATTAGAGGGATTTCTAGAGTGTATTGAAATAGTTAGTGTCTTAAAGATGTACAAGTATGTTGAGAGAACAAATCGAAATGTGCCGTGATGAGGGTTTGAACTTACATCCAGGATGATCCCAAATGCGCCTTAGTTGATTGCGCCATGACATGATTAAAAGAATTGCAACCGGGATTGCTACTGCTCTCACATGGATCCCGCAGTCTCTCCGACACACAAACCGGCGTTTTACACAATTCCCCCATGTAAATTGTCTGTACCATCATCACGGCCCTTGTGAATTTGTTCATTTGATGTATCACGCTATTGTGATTTCTGTGTAATGCTGAGATTTATATTATATTGAGAAGTGAGAGTTTATAAATTTTTGAGATAAATAAATGAGTTTGTATAAATTTTCTGAAAGTTTACCACAGAATTATTGTTATGCATACTGCTTAAATAAGTCAATGAATGTATAACAATCTACTAACAAGCAAATTAAAACAATTGAGGAAAGCTTTGGGTCACGTGAGAAGGGTGAATATTATGCCCAAGAAAATATAAGGAATGCTGCTTATATTATGAAGAAATGAAGCTTGAAAAAAAAAGGAAGGGCAAAATTCTAAGGAGAAAGGGAATGGAGAGGTAAATACAGTTAAAAAAACATATGGGTTAAAGGTGTATATAGGTCATTTGTTTCTTAAATTGAAGTCTTTCTTTTTATATAAGACCTAAAGTAAGTAATTATCAAAAGAGGCACCAAACCGGGAAGGCTATGTAGCACCATCAAAGTGCAAAATAATCAGAGGGCGCTAAATATCACCAAGAATGCCAATACGAGAACAGAAACGCACAAGTCGAATGATATCAAAAGTATCCTATTCATCAAGAATTCTATCGAGGGACAAGTATAAGACCTAAAACTAAGACCCAAAGGGTATTGTACTGTGCTGACTTGTGTGTGGAAGTGTGTGGGCGTACCACCAAGTCTTGAGTGTGTGGTAGACGACTATGTCACGAAGTGTAAACGAGGCTGAAGAACATTCCTACATGTAGCCAGAGTAATACTCTGATGGGATCAGCCAATAAAGCCATTAAAGGTTTGTACTATTTAAATATACAGTAAATGCATTCCAGATTGATGTTGGTTCAGCAGCGCGATGTGAACTGGAAGGCCGAATACGGTCTTTAGACCTGGCCATCCTACAGTTGCGGACAGAATTACAAATGGAAAAACATCGATCCACAGCTTTATTTGATGAAAAAAATAGTTTGCAGAAAAAGGTTTGTAATTTGGTGTGAAATGTTAATTTTTCTGCCTAATTGCCTACCTCTGTGTTGGCCGGCCTGCCTATATTCCTGTCTGTTAACCTGCCTTGCTGGTCTGTTTTATGTGGCTTGGTTCTGGGGAAAGGGAAGGGAAAGACAGCTTTTTGCTGAATCACAATTCTACCGACACAATACTTGCCACTCGTTTATTCATTCACACATTAAAAAACAAAATTATATTATATTATTAAAATTGTTAAATGTGTATTTCTCTTGCTTAGTAAGTTGAAGAGTGGAAAATTGGGGACCTGGGACCTCGACTTTTAAATTGAGTCGATATTAAATACCCAGTACAGTATTTGTGCGGTGCACACTTTTTGGGTAACATATAATATTTGTTAAGCGAGGCTTGCCTGTAATCGGTTACACTTTCTTGCATTGATAGGCTACCTGTAACTCTGACAACTTTTGCTATAATCCTTTCCAAAATTTTCATGTATCTTCTACACTCAAGAATACTTCTGACCAGTTTAATTGTTGATACACTCCCCCTCGTGAACCTCATACTAATATTCACCACTGAGCAGTGTTTTATTCTCATTAACTGACTTGTATGAGTAAGCAATATCTTCCCCTTCACCACCTAAGCAAAGGGGCCATTTCAGTTTTAGCAGATCATTCATAGCTAAATTATATACTGTACTCAGAATGATATTTTTCATGTAACTTGAAGCTTGTTTTTTTTTTTTTCTATCTACTGCATCACTTCTGTTGTTGCTAAGTCAGTCTTGGTTCTCTCTGCACATTCTCTCAATAAAAATCAATGGCAGTTTCTTAATTTATGTCATAGCCAAACCAGGAGAGCAAATCTTTAAACATTATAATACACTAAATGAAAATATTTAACTTTTAAATGGGATTTAAATACAATACAGCCTGTACTTATAAATAGCTTTTTCAGATTTCTCTAACATGTGAAGGAATTTTAAATGCTTTAGGGAGATTCTTTATGATGCAAAGAGAAAAACATTGTTATTATAAATATTTTTTAATAGGTAAGAGATCTCCAAGAGCGTATATGGAGTCAGAATCGTAGACGACGAAACAACAGCAGTGATAGCATTAGGAGCTTCGACAGCATTAAGAGCAGCAGTAGTCTTCATAGCACAGGAGGATCAGCATGGGAAAAAGATGCCGACTCAGAGTGTGGAAGCTGCCACAGTACTCTTCCTACAATCGAAGGGAGTGACCGTGTTGATCAGCAAGTACAGGCAAGTCTAATGAAACCTGAAGCCATTCTTATAAGTTTTCATTTTATATGTAAACATGTAGGAATGTATTTATTGTAACCAGTAAAAATAATTCAGAAAATTATTTTAATTTCCTCTTTTTTTTTCAAATGCTGTATGCAGGGTTGGCATGATGCCAACCCACTCACTCACCGAAGCCAGGTTTCTTAGTTTAAAACCCCAGGCAGGTTAAAAAAAAATTGCTTTAGTATGGGTCATCTTAGTCATTTATATTTAAATTGAAACTTATGCTTCATTAGATAAAGTATGATACAATATTTTATCTGATGATTAAACAGATAAAAACCCACCTCATCCCAGCCCCAGAGGGTTGGAGATTTTAAAAAAATTCAAGTTTTTCTGGAAGGAGGGCTGAACTCTGAACTGGAGTGAACTCTAAAGGTTCACTCAGGAGTGCTTTTAAGTAATGTTTGGCATCACAGTAGCACTCGTTAACTTCCAGTTAGGCCCAATTGGCCACTATCTATTACCAGCCCTTACACAACACTAGGTTTCCTGCCTCAAGTGCTCTCACATTCCTCCTGACTAGTCTCTATGTTGGATGCGCAGGCAAGAGACACGAATTAAACAAAGTGACTTGCCTTTTTGCTTTAAAATTTATTTTTGCTGTTCAGTTGACTTGTGGTTATGAGATGAGCAAACTGGTTAGTGAGACTGCATCTTGGCAATCCTTGTGATGCCAACTAGGGCTTGGAATGGCTTTGAAGTGTGCTTATAGGTGAATTTTTTACAAGTTACTCCAGGCTGGACTGAGCATTTTTCCAGTGTTTCCTTAGCACCAGTATATATACCCAATTGGGACAATTTGAAAAGGTCATCAATGTGTCAATGGAGAAAGTCATCCTGCCCCGACTCTCCTGATTCTGTCCAATTTTACAAGGCCAGAGTCTGCCTTTGGAAACATTTAAGAATTCTGCTCAGAAAGAAGCTTTTCAATTCACACATAACTAAATTTTTCCTCAAATAATATTTTTTGTTTTAGTGTATAATGAAAGAAGTTGGAGAGGGCCAAGCCAGAGAAGAGCAACTTCACACACTTTTGCGTGAGAAGGATGCAGCTCTCCATAACCTTCAGCATTCCCTCTCTACTCAGATCACAACAAAAAATCAAGGTACACAATTCTATAAACTTCACAATAATCTCTCATACAGCAATAAAACAGTAAAACTAATATTTATCTTCGGAGCTTCCGAACTTGGTTAACCTCTGAGGTAAGATTCTGCTGTGCATGTAGTATGGAAGCATGCAGTCAGGTAGGGTGACATTCAATATACCTGTGCCATGGGGAACTCTTCACACATCCATGCAGTCATATTAATACTAGGGAGTCCACGATTGTACCATCCAGCTAAAGTGTGATATAGGAATCTGTGGTGTGTAGGTTTCTGTGGTGAAATCTGTGGTGTGTAGGTGAGTACTTTGTTGGATCCTTTCTCTTAAGTATGTTATTTACACATTGATTGCCAAGTTGCTTACTCTGGCAGATAAGTACTGTATTGTTGCCGGATATCACAATTTTCAGCTTCCAGCTTTTGTATGTATTTTGTGAACTTTTCTGTTCTTTGAAGGGGGAACTAGCTATGCATGTTTCTTCTATCTGGCTATTTAATATTCAAGATAGAAAAGACACAGGTTGGTTTCATGGTGTTCTTGGCTCATTTTCATGGACTCGTGAATTACTTATTTGCATGTTCCTGTATGTCTGTTGTTCAGGTATGGGTTGGGGTTTCAAAAGGGGACATATCAGTTACTATATTTGGGCTCCACCGTTCGAACTCAACTTGGCACTTACGATTTTTACTAGGCTTGCATAAGTGATCCTGCAATAACTTTTTCATAATAGACTTATTAAAAGTTTCATTTGGTCTAAATTTCTTTTAGCTATTACAGCAAATAGAAATTTAATTTCACAGTGGAATATAACTACAGGTAGTGTATATATAATGCGAATGATTAATACATAACATGCGCCAACAATTTTACAGAGCTTGAGGCGCTAAGTGGTAAAATAAACTTTTTAGAGGATCAGTTGGAATCATTACTGTCTGGCCTTGAAGTGAGTGCAGCCATAGGCAATATAACAACAGAAGTTGGCCGCCTACTACAGGACCGAACAAGCCATCTCGACTCCCTTGATCACTCTTCACATTGGCTTCAAGAGGAAATGTCATCTCTAGCACTGGTTAGACTTGTATTATTAATGTATATGTATTCTTTTTGTACAAAATACCATTAATTCTCTATCATTTGAATTATTACATATTTTCAAATACAGTTAATGTTATCCAAAAGGTCCTTAAAACTATGGCCATATTCCTAACTCCAAGGATCATTAAACTGTTGAAGATTTGCATCTGTTGATTTACATACAAGGTAAAACTAAGTAACCCCTGTAATTAACCCATTATATGTCTTATAAATAATAATTGTTATTATTATTATAGAGCAATAATCCCAGATCACTTAAAGCTGACCCTTGGAAACTCCTTGAAGACATTGGTTTCTGTGTTAATGATGTTATTTGCTTCACACTAAACATTAAATGAGGACTTTTTGTGTATGTTGCAGGAGAACCAAACCCTGAATAATGAACTACTTGCAACCAAAATGAGTAAACAGGAAACATCAGAAGCACAAGAATCTGCACGAAGGGCACGACAAGAAGCTCGGGAAGAACGATTGTCTGCAGCACGCCTAAGAGAAAAATGCTTACAGTTACAGGTGCAGAAAATTATGTGGAAGGATATTCAAGAATTGTTAATGTGTTTGGCACATTAGCTAAATTCCTATTAAAATTTATTTTCTACAAAGCATTCCTATGCTTTTAAATCTGTACTACAGAATTTTGCAGGATAATATTGCCCAATACGTCTTGCATTACTTTGATTATGTGGCAATAATGCTGAAACCTCTTACGTTAATTTTGTATTTAAGTATATTCTATACTTCCTGATGCAAATTTTACCACTTTTTCATTTCTGGGGGAAGCCCCCTGTGGTCCCTATAGCTATCATCTCTGATGTGTGCAATGTCTAAAAGTTGCCATCAGTCACAGAGTTCTGGGGCCTACCGGAGACCCAGAGCCAGGACCCGGTCTCCTCACCGAGGCGCAGGGAGCAGTGCCATATATCATTTTATATGCTACCACCAGGAAAGGCACCTAGAAAGTCAGGGAGACAAAATGAACTATAGCTGGCTATTTCCTATAACTGCAGACTGAAACAGCTAAAGAACTCCCCCAACACTATGTATACAAATGACCATACATACATAGGAATGTATGGTTTCCTATACATGGAAACGTTCCTATGTCCATATATATAGCACAGCAAGATGAGAATGGTTAGAAAGCATAATTCTAATCTTGGAACAATTTTAAAAGTTTTAACTTGACTTAAATACTGTATAAAATAATTTGTTACATTGAGTGACCTTACAGACATTGGTTAATGCATTGTTAGGTTAAAGAGATTTAGTGAACTTTCTTTTTACAGACAAAGTTGGACCATGTACAATACACCCTGGAACATGAACGCCACGAGAGACGACTCACCGACACAGTGCATGGAATTAAGGTTTGGAGCCATATTACAAATATTTATATTTTCAAAATGTTTTTGAGAAAATAAAATACTATTTACCTTTATTTTCCTCAAAAATAAAGTAACAATAAAGTACCGAGTTATCAATCTCGTATATTCCTAGTAGGGATACTCGAGTTCTTTGCTGTATTTTCTTACTGCTTGTGTGTGTGTGTACCTTACTGGCATATGGGTGTGGCTGACATTGTGCCCTAGGTTGCCACCTGGTGGCAGCCAGATGCATTACAATTAGTGTTTGTCCTCCAGTAACAATTGTTTCCCATGTTACCTCAGGGTACCTAGTTTTCCTCAAGTTTTCCTAGACTGGTTTTGTTATGTTTATACTTTCTGGTGGGGTTTTACATAATTTTGAGTTGATCTCCGATACCAAGCTTTCATAGTCTCATAGAATGACCCAGGTTCTGGTCTCAACTTCAATTATGAAACTGTGGTTTCAGGGACCTAGTGCATCTCCCCAAGGCTTGGCTTGAAATACGTTGTTAAAGCAATAATGTATAATGACTCAAAATACAAGGGTACTGTGTATAAATTTTTGTTTCATTTCAGCACCAGGAATTTGGTTCACTGCTTGACTGTACTACTGCTCTGCAGCAAACTTTTGATCCTCAAGAAAGTGCTGAAAAACCACTTATAAGTATCAACATGAAAACATGAACTCAGGAATCAAGACTACCTGTTTATCATCCATTATGGGTAGTTAGTTGCAGAAGAGATACTCGGTGCCTAAATTGTTTTTACTTTATTTATACATTTTGCTTAACAAATGAGGAGGGTACTAAACTGAAAAGTAAAAAGACAATTTTGTATTTTTGTAGTAACACAATTTTATATGAAACACAAATAAAGAGGAAACTCAAAATACTGTACAGTACTTGAATGAGAAACCTTATAAACGCAAGTGTCAGTGGGTTTGTGGAATGAAAAATACAGTTTTAAATATATAAGTGTTAGAAATAATGTCCAATGTGTAACATATATAAAACAAGGGACATATGCTAAAGTACTTCATAGTCATATATATTTATACAAATGTCAAATTTCTTTTCGGTTATTATTTGTGACTAAGGAAAAGATTACAATTGCTATAGGTTAGATAAGTCACTACCATGAGGATAATTCTAAACTGCATGCCTCTGGTTAATCCACGATCCAAAACATTAAGGTACATCCAGTAGAGATACTGTACCTAGTGGTTTTATTAGGCTTAATTTATTTTTCTGCAAGTTTCTATTCCATGTCCTAAGACTGTCTCATTTCAGTCAGATATTTTTACTTTCAAACATTTGTGTACGATTATAAAAGTTTCCTATTGAAATTGACGGGCATAACCTAATGGTGGAGTATTTTGGCACTTAACAAACCTTTTCGTGATACTGTACAACACTCATTGATGTCTTTATGAAAAATTGAAAGGTAATGCTGCCTCTCATTTTTGTCCTTTATGAATGCAGAAATATTTATAAAGTATTGTATGTTTGTGGCTACCAACTGGCAGGTGTTTTATGGAAATGGAAATAGAGAAAAGGATGACTTTGCAAAGAATAGAATTGATAACCAATGGCTTTAGTGTTAATTTTTCATAATTTTGTCATCCACACACACCAATACCATCCCTATGCATCCATACCGTCCACACGCACCTATACTGCCCGTGTGCACCCATACCACCTACATGCACCCGTGCTGTCCACACACAAGCACCACCCACCCACATGACTAGGTATGTCCCTTGTGTTCAGTGTATGGGCAGAAATAGAGGATTCGAGGGGTTCATTTGTATGTTTAAGGGCATATGATACTACAGTACACCACAGTTTACCTTGGGTGGGTTCATTCCCCCATCCAGACGTCTAACCTTGGGGTGGAGATGCTAAGTGCGGCATTATTGTAGTGTCGAGTGCCACGACTTCCTGTGTATTTGGATTTTGAGAGGGTGAAGATTTGTATTTTTAAAAATACAATAGAGTCACTGTTTGATGCATTGGGATTTTATGTTGCTATTTGGAGTAAGAATTAGTACTTTTTCTAGTTTAATATGGTAAACTCTTGGCTGTATCGTGTGTTTTCTAACATTTTTATTGTTAATTACTTTCAATGAATAAATGTGCTTGCATAAGAGTTTAAGCCAAAAAATATTTTTCCATAACTTAATCTGTGCTCAAATCAAAACCAGTGAGATTGTAAACTAAACTGCACATTTATTATATAAATTTTTAAAAAGCTTTGATCTTGGAAACTTACTATTTTTCTCGTTATATGTTAACAAAATACTATGCTGTCAGATTTTGTATGGGATCTCAATCAACATGTAGAGCTAAGAGTACTATATTACATAATATTACTTATATTGCCAGATGTGCCGATACATAATGTATACGCTTTTGTGTTACGAGAAATGCTGGCATAAGGAAACTGGGGGGAGTGAACCTTTATCTATCAGCTGCAATAACACAAATATCTAGCATTGGGCTGATGTGGAAACCTGTCCTCCTACAAAGAACATCGCTTTTCAGTCATATGCGTTACTTAAAGCCAAAAATTGTCGTCCTGTGGAGGACGGACTGGCTTGCAGGGCTCAAGTTTACCAATAACATATTATTATTGCCTTCCATGAGATGAAGTCACTCCCTCATGATCTTTTCATACCAAAGTGTTGTTATTCTTGTAATTAGAAGCATTAAGTTATATTTGTATAGTATATTATATTCTTATGTACTTTTGTATGCTCGAAAAAATAAACAAAGTCCATTGTATATTTTAAATTTTATACCTATAAATTGTTCTCAATTGTTCTGGTATAAATAATTTTCCCCTGTTTAAGCATGGGTATGTTATTTTATTATCTAATATTCTACCTAATCATGTCTAGAACACCAGAAAGACCAGTATTACAAGAGAATTTGTCTTAATGGAAAACAATCGCATTCAGTCAGATCACAACTTCAAGATGGGGGTGTCTGATTTCTGTTGAAGGTACAGTACATACCACTGAAAAGATTGGGAGGGTTTTTATATTACTAGATGGGGGTCTCTGCCCCCCCTCCTTCCTCCCCTATCTCATCTCCATGCCTATTTTTTCAAAAGTACATGGCGAAGGGGTGACTAAGCTAATCCTGGTTATGAAGAAACATCTCTTAAAGACTTAAACAATATTCATTTGCTGTTCCCAGAAAGGCGTAGAGTGAGAGTGGATATGATCGATTGATTGATAAAGATTAATTAAATTCAGCCACCAAAGAGGTGGCACGGGCATGAATAGCCCGTAAGATATGATCGATGTTTGCAACTGGATTAATATGGTAAACAAGTGGGATATAATATACACAATATATATATTTGATATATATATATATTTTTCTTCTAATATTATTAACCCAGCTTTGAACAAAAAATTATAAATTTAGTATGGATAAATTCAAGCTTAGAAAAAAACGGGCAAATACTGGATCAGAAGTAGATCTGCAGATCTGTGGAAGATACTAACATAACAGAATCAAGCTAACTGGAAAGCCTCAAACACAGACTAGATAGGTTGACGAATACCGATTGGTGCCACAAAGGTAAAAACCTGGAAGACAAGGACAGGCAAGCGTGCCAGTGGTCATGCCGGTCTTCAATCTGTATCAATCCGGTACGTGGATCTACCGTCGCCAGAAGCCACCAGTTCTGCTTATAATAGTGAGTCAGACGAAGTGGGTTACATGATCTGGGGAACACCAAGGTCGGCCAGCGTGACGTGTGGGAGAGAGATGGGCAGGGAGGGTGATGGTACACCTTGACATGTCTGGGGCGCTCTCATACACACACACACACAAACAGAGGCGGGACCAAAGAGCCAAACCTCAACCCCCGCCAGCACAAACAGGTGCGTACAGATTTTGTGCGCGTGGATTAGGATGGATTATCTAACACGGGTGGTACACGCACAAGGGGACAGGTGGAAACTTAGTACCCAAATGAGCCACAGAGACATTAAAAAGAACTTTTTCAGTGTCAGAGTAGTTAGTAAACGGAATTCACTAGGAAGTGATGTGGTGGAGGCTGACGCCATACACAGTTTCAAATGTAGATATGATGGAGCTTGAGAGGCTCAGGAATCTGTACACAAGTAGATTGACGGTTGAGAGGCGGGGGCCAAAGAGCCAAAGCTCAACCCCTGCCAGCACAACTTGGTGAGTACAATTAGATGAGCACAGTCGAGTGAACAGCGCTCTGGGGTCGTAGTCCTAAGGAACCGGATTTGATTTCCGGCCGAAGCAGAAACAAATGGGCAGGGTTTTTCACACCTGATGCACCTGTTCACCTAGCAGTAAAAAGGTACTTGGGAGTTAGACAGCTACTACAGGCTGCATCCTGGGAATGTGTGTGTGTGTGTGTGTGTTAAGCGAGAAATATATGCAGTAGATATGATGAAAGAAAACCGGTTAGGAGTCAGTACATTGACAACCGATGGTTAGCAAGGCGGGGCCCAAAAGTTAACAGCTCGATACTGCAGGCATAAATACCAAATAGTAAATGCACACACCCATTCTGTTTCTGGGAAACAGAATGGAAACAGATAGTTAATGGATATCAGAAACAAATATACGTAAATGATCTCTCAGAGGGTATAGACTCATTCCTCTCAATGTTTTCTGATGATGGAAAGGTAGATAGGTAGAAACTGTAGGAAAGATTAAGACAGAGATTACAAGATGACCTGGGCAGACTAAAGAAATAGTCCAATAAATGGCTCCTAGAGTTTAACTTAAGCAAGCGTAAAGTAATGAAAATAGGTGTAGGAAGCAGGAGACCGAACAGAAGATAACTGGAAGATAAAGACCTTCAGGAATCAGGAAGATGAAAAGATTTGAGGGGTTGATATCACACCAGGCCTGTCCCCTGGAGTCCACATGAAAATGATGTCATCAGCGGCAAATGCAAGGCTGGCACACATAAGAACTGCCTTCAGAAACTTGTGTAAGGAATCATTCAGAACCTTGTATACCTCATATGCCAGACCAATACTGGAGTATGCGACTCCAGCCTGGAGTCCATATTTAGTCAGACACAAAAGAAATCTATAAAAGTTCAGAGGTTTGCCACCAGACTAGTACTCGAGCTGAGAGGTATGAGCTAAGAGAAAAGATTACTGGAATTAAATTTTATGACACTAGAAGACAGGACACTTAGAGGAGACATGATTACCATTTACAACATTTTCTGAGAAATTGACAAGAGACAGACTCAAATCGGAGGAGGAAGAGAAGCTTGGGGCAGAGTGCCTATGACCAGACCGTCAGAGTGCCCAGAGGACAACAGGAGTGCAGGACAGCATCGTAACTATAGTGTTCCGTCTTGTTCCTTCCACACATAAATGACTTAGCTGATGAATTAAACGCATTCTGTGTCTCTGTCAATTCAATTTCTTTCCTATGCACCCCATACCCTTCCCGTGGGCGGTGGTGTAAAGGGTTACAGAGGCACATAATTGGTTCAGGAACTGAATCATTCTAGTTCGTTTAGCTAAGTAAATAACAATCTTTTGACGCTAGTTACACAATTTCTACACAGAGGAAGATTGATTTAATTTGTATCCAAGATCGGGTAAATGGTTACTGGACTTCAACCTAGGTACATGCAAGGCCATGAGGATATGGGTTCAAGTTAGATGAAACAGCAGCACAAGGTTCATGTTATTATCATACTGGAACTAGATCAATGTAACTTAATACTGCATATATTGCCCGACAAGCAGAGCAACTCAGTTGGGCACTACAGATAGGCAATAAAGTATTCTTGACATTACTTAAACAAGAAAATACACTATGTGCAGCCCTTACTTACACAAGGAAGGTAATTCGGTGCCGTGTATGTGTGTGCAGAGAATGACACAATAACCAGACTTGAAATAACTCATACCCGTCAACACAGAGGAAGAGAGAACGTTCTTCACCATCCGGGACCATTGTTATTGTGTTTATTTGCAGGGCATTTACGTGTAGATTCACGCGGCCTCGGGGAATTACTGTGATAATTATTCCTTATAAGTATTTAGGATTAGCTATTGCAAGTACTTCTGCTGCTAGTAGCACCTCTACTGCTAGCTAGCCGTCCCAGAGCTACTTACCAGCGCCCTGTCATAGAGCCACTTACCAGCGCCCGTCCCAGAGCCACTTACTAGCGCCCCGTCCCAGAGCCACTTACCAGCGCCCCGTCCCAGAGCCACTTACCAGCGCCCCGTCCCAGAGCCACTTACCAGCGCCCCGTCCCAGAGCCACTTACCAGCGCCCCGTCCCAGAGCCACTTACCAGCGCCCCGTCCCAGAGCCACTTACCAGCGCCCCGTCCCAGAGCCACTTACCTGCGCCCCGTCCCAGAGCCACTTACCAGCGCCCCGTCCCAGAGCCACTTACCAGCGCCCCGTCCCAGAGCCACTTACCAGCGCCCCGTCCCAGAGCCACTTACCAGCGCCCCGTCTAAGGGGGCACGGCAGACGCCTCCTCACGATACACAAGTTGTGTACGTCTCTTCCTGACGCCGATGCCTCAAATCGATGTTTACAACACAATGGTCGGGACTCGTTATCACGCTCTCTTCCTGTCATCTCTTTAACTCTTCTGCTGCGAGGAGGGAGAGGGAGAACAAGAGAGGGGGAGAGGGAACCAGAGAAGGGGAAAAGGGAGCCAGAGAACAAGAGAGGGAGAGGGAGCGAGAGAACAAGAGAGAGCGAGAGAGCTACCGTACTCCGGGCACAGGTGACCGCAAATGTCGATCTGTGGGAGGTAATGTTACTATCAGTGGAAATGTTAATTCTCTTTTAGTGGACATGGTTATGGACGAAGTAATGTCGGCCATTGGGTGCTTATATCATCCCAGGGAGATTACCCTAATCCGGGCTGAAAATGTCGACTAAGTAGGGAACTTAGACCTTTGTTTGGAATGTCGACGCAGTAGACAATATCAAACCAGTTTGAAAAGGTCGACAGTTTTTGGAATGTACACTTGTAATGGAAAGTGGTGTGTTGTCAGAACCTTCACGAGCACGCAGAATTGAGAGAGAGAAGCGACGGGCAGGAAATAATAGGACGGCGTTAAGGTGACGTCGAATGTAGGCAAATTTGTCAACTGAACTAACAGGAAAGACTCACTTAGGAGGTAGTCGCTGACGAAGGGGACCGTCATTGGACAACACGAACTGGGCTTTCCACCCTTACCCGTATTTCTTAGTGTGAAAAAGTGTAAACACTTCTTGCCCCTCTCCCACAATCTCTCACCTCTCCTCTCCTCCTTTTCCCTCACTCTCCACCTGTATCTCCTCCCCTCTCCTTTTCTCACGTTAAATATCCCCTTTGTCCTTCTATTCAAACATCCCCCACTTCTCTCCCTATCTCTATGTGCACCTATCTTTCTATATCTCTGTCTCTGTCTTTCTCTGTGTCTGCCTCCGTCTGTGACTTGTTGTCTATTTCTCTCTGTTTTTACTTATTGTCTTTTGGTCTCACTCTCCCTTACGGTCGACCTGGTCTGCTTGCAGGGCTATCTCTCTCCCTTTCTCATTCTCCGTCTGTAACTGGGTGTCTCTGGTCAATCTTTCTCTCTGCTTCTCTCTAATAACATTAATATAATACTCTATCATTGGAATGTGGATGGTCTGCTGGTGAGAGGAGCCTAGCAGTGTGAAATATTAAATAGTTACCCCTGATTTGTTTTGAGAAAAGGGTGGGGCTGGTAGAAGGCAGGAGTAGGAGGTCTAGTCGACGACCGGGCCGAGG